CACACACAGACACATCTCCTGACACACACCTGCTCAGACAGCCTCTTCAACAACAGGCACAGACAGACACTGACTCTGACAGCTACACAGCTGGAAGCCCAGAGACAGATACACAGCCCCTGCCTGTGTGCCGGACAGGCCCAGAACTGCCTCCAGCACCTCCCCACTCTCTCTCGCACAGATTGTATTGCTGTGAGAACAGTTTCACAGGTAATCATACAAAAAACAAATGCTCGCAGATCTGAAGCTTTATGCAATTTAAAAAAAAATAATTTTGAACCCTTAGGTATACATGGTTAAAGCTGTTTTAAAGTTATTAAAATTTGTCAAAGCATAAAACAGCAAATTGTTTTTTTACAAAAGCTGAATAAAATCTAAAAGCCAAAAAATCACCCTACAGAGCAAAGAGAAACTCAGGTGGCTGAGCTGGACTCCACTGTGCAGGACTCCAGTCACACTAGCATGTCAGGAAAAGCATAACAAGTCACACAGATATTTCTCCCCTGCCACCTAGAATGGCTAGCTGGCTCTGAGTGCATGCTGGGAAAGCAGGAGGACCAGGCCTGTGTCCGAGCCCACAGTTCAGCTTCACTCAAAACAAGGGAGCAGCCTTGAACTTCTGGGAAAGAGTCTCCAGCAGCTTGGAAAGCCTGGAGCGGATCAGACTGCTGTGCAGTGGGAGTCTGACTGACAGCACGGTCATATCATTATAATCAGAATCTCACAGACGCCGACAGATCAGAGCAGACGGTACTGGGAGCCGAATTAGTTCTTCACTGGGATTACAATCAGACTCCACTGACACTGACAGAGCAGTCTGGGACACTGCAGGCTGGACCGAGACCCAGCAGCAAACCCAGAGCCCTAACCCAAAGCCCAGCAGCAAAAAGAGCTATTCTACTGGAGAGACCACGTGCCCTGTGACAGGACGTCCCAAATATTGACACCTATTTACAGACAGGGAGCACAGAAAGAGTGCAGCAAAGTCAGAGACCGTTTCTGAATTAAGACAATGAAAACCTCTCTTTCGATTTACAAATACAACCGAAAAGTCTGTAGTTTTTTTTTTTTTCCTGTGGCGGCGGATTAAGAAAGAGGATCAACGATTAAAAACGATTTAGAAAAAGAGTCGAGTTGCCTCCTCGGCGCTGCCCCGGGCCGGCCTCCCCCCGGCCCGTCCTGGCGACAGCGCGCCCCGCTCCCCTGGGGGGACCTGCGACGCCGGAGGGGAGAGGCAGGCAGGCAGGGAGAGGGGGTGTAGCTGCCGTGTCGATTTCAGGGAGGGGCGGTGGGGGAGGCGGGTTTACCGGTAACCCCGATAGTTGCCGCCGCCGCCGTAGTTGTAGTTCCTGTGGCCCCCGCTGTAGCCATAGCGATCCTGGTCCTGGTAATACCGGTCCCACTGCGCAGAGAGGGAGAGAGAGAGAGGTCAGGGGCACGCAGAGAGACGAGGTACAGAGGGAGAGAGAGGTCAGGGGCAGAGAGAGAGAGAGGTCAGGGGTGCGCAGAGAGACGGGGGACAGAGGGAGAGAAGCTGGGGGGCAGACAGAGAGAGGTCAGGGGCGGAGAGACGTCACGGGCACAGAGAGGGAGAGAAGTCAGGGGACAGAGGGGAAGAGAGAGAGAGGTCAGGGGCACGCAGAAGAGAGACGGACAGAGGGAGAGAAGCTGGGGGGCAGACAGAGAGAGGTCAGGGGCGGAGAGACGTCACGGGCACAGAGAGGGAGAGAAGTCAGGGGACAGAGGGGAAGAGAGAGAGAGGTCAGGGGCACGCAGCAGAGAGACGGACAGAGGGAGAGAAGCTGGGGGGCAGACAGAGAGAGGTCAGGGGCGGAGAGACGTCACAGAGAGGGAGAGAAGTCAGGGGACAGAGGGGAAGAGAGAGAGAGGTCAGGGGCACGCAGAAGAGAGACGGACAGAGGGAGAGAAGCTGGGGGGCAGACAGAGAGAGGTCAGGGGCGCAGAGAGGGAGAGAGAGGTCAGTGGCGCACAGAGAGATGGGGGGCAGATGGAGAGAGGTCAGGGGCGCGCAGAGAGAGAGGGAGACAGAGAGAGTTCAGGGGCCTCTGCTCGCCTCACCTCGCCGGTGTACTGGCGGTAGTAGTCACGGTAGCGCTGGGGGTTGTAGCCGCGGTTGTAGAAGGTGTCGTACTCGGTGCAGTACTGGCTGAAGAAGGGCCGGTACTCCTGCGGGGAGGAGAGGGGGCGGGTCACACCGACAGGCAGGCAACCGGACCAGGGGCAGATCGGACCGGACCGGACCGGGCGCCTCATACTCACCCCGCGCTGGGGGCCCCAGTAGGGCTGGGGCTGTCCGTACGGCCTCTGGATATAGCCCCCTCTGCCCCCCCCTGCAGAGGGCGAGAGTGAGGAGGTTAGGACGCGCTCGTGAACAACGGCACCCCTCTGGGTCCACAGTCACCCGTCCCGGGCCGGGCCGAGCCGAGCCGAGCCGAGGGGGCAGCGCCCCGACGGTCAGCCTGCTCAGGCCTGCGGCGGACTCGAGGGTTTCTGTGACCCCGGACGACCCCCTGGCTTACTCAGGCGAAGCAATCTCGGACCCGGCTCACCGTATCCGCGGTCCCGGTCTCCCGGCCGGGGGGGCCGGCCAGGCTGGGGGGGCGGCTTGCGCCGGTTGCGGTTCTTCTTGCGCTTGGGGGGCGCGGGCAGCAGGCGGCGGGCCTCCTCCTTGTAGCCCAGCAGCAGCTTCTCCGTCTCCTCCTTGGTCAGCTCGGAGAACAGCACCTCGTCCAGGACCTCGCTGCACTGCGGGAGAGTGAAGCTCACTGCCGGCCGGCAGCGGCGGACAGCGGTCAGCACGCGGCCGCCGGGCGGACAGACGGGCGGGTCGCCCCCCGGACGCAGCTGCGCCCCCTCTCACCCTTGACTTTGAGCAGCGAGATCTCCGGCACCTCCTCCCCCTCCTCCTGCTGCAGGAGCCCCAGCCTGCGCTTCCACTCCTCGTCCGTGGGGAAGACGACCACCGCCTTGCGCTGGAAGCCCTTGAAGCGCAGCAGCTTGCGGCGCTGGGCCGAGGAGTACACGTTCGCCTGCAGAGGACGGGCACAGAGAGATGGCTCCCGCAGCAACACCAGGCCCCCGCACCACAGAAACCCCACCGCCTCTGCCTGCACACGCCCAGCCCCCCCGGGCACAAACCCCACCCCTTCCACCACAAACCCCACCTGCACTGTACAACCCCGCCTCTTTTCCACACACCTCCCACCTCAAACACCCCGCCCCCTCTCACACAACACACCTCCCACCTCAAACACCCCGCCCCCTCTCACACAACACACCTCCCACCT